CATCTACCCAACCATTCACAATTGACTCAACCATCTACAATCTACTCAACCATTCAACATCTACTCAACCATCCCCCATATGCTCAATCATCTACCATCTACTCAACCATCCACCATCTACCCAACCATTATTTATTCATCCATCCATCTATCTACATCTCATCCATTTATTCATCTATCCATCATATCTACCCATCTATCTATCTACTATCTACCCACCCAACCAACTACCCACCCATTCACTCACTCATCCATTATGTATCCATCCAACCTCTCCACCTATCCTCTCTGTCCATTCATCTATCCATCTAGTATATTCATCCATCTAACCATCAAACTTTTCCAACTATCCATCCATCCATCCATCCATCTTTCTTCTTGTCCTTCCTTCCTCTATGCCTATTCATACATTCAGTCCAATCAATCCAACCAACCTTACAATCCACCTATTTACCCACCCACTTTCTCAATCCATCCATCCATCCATCCATCCATCCATCCATCCACCCATCCATCCATCCATCCACCTATCTACCTAATCCATCCGCCCATCTATCCCTTCCATCCATCTATCCATCTACTCAACCATCCCTCCATGTGCAATTGTTGGGTCTTAGGAATGAGGTGTTTATTATGTTTGAATATGATATTTGGATTTGAATATTTGGATTTTCTAAGGATCAGTACCATTTTATACTACCGTGAATGATGCAGGAGTGTTCTGATGGTTCTGCAGCCTTATCAGGATTTGGTATTGGCAATTTTTAAAAGTTTACCCAATCCAGTAGTTATGCATGCTATCTCACTGAAGTTGTAGTCTCCATTTCCCTGATGAGTCAGTGTTTTAATATGTCTACAGGTGACTTTAAAAGTCAGATATCATGGGCTGCAGATGTGACTTAGTCAGTGGCTGAGCACATGCCTAGCACACGTTAGGCCCTGGGTTTGATCTCCATTACTGAAAACAAATTTTGGTTCTCTCATGTATCTACTAGTGCCTTTCGGTTTTATAAGATTTTCTCTTTTTATTGTTTCTAATTTTGTTTTGAGACATGACTTATGTAGCCCAGACTGACCTCAAGCTACTCACATAGCTAAGGATGACCTTGAACTTCTGATCCTTCTGCCCCCCACCTCCTAAATGCTAGGATGAAAGGCAGGCACCGCCATGTCTGGCTTAGGTTTTTGTTTTATGCATCCTGAGTACCAATGTTTCACAGAGGACTGAGAGAATTTCCCCTTGTTCTCATCTTTTGGGGATGTTTTCTTATGAGCCAAAGATTTGAATTTTGATTCAGTCCCATCAAACAATTTTCAATTTTTCCTCTAGTGTTTTTATTTTTATATTTTATGATTGCTTTAAGGGATGTTGGCTACCTCAGCTCCATAAAACATTTTTTTCCATTTTGTTCCAGAAGTTTCATGACACTAGCTTTTACACTGGAGTCTATCAATCATCCTCAGGTTAACCTGTGTGTGTGCCAGGCAGGGGCCAGGCCCGCCCCTCCCTTTCTCATGTTCTCTTGTTCCAGGGCCATGTGCTAGAGAACTTATCTTTACTGTCCGAACAGCCTCGGGGGTCTCCGTCAAAATCAATCGAGTTTGCCCGCAGGTCTACTTCTGGGCTCTCCTCTCTGCTTCAGCCTAGAGTCTACACCGGAGGGTCTGGACAGCTGTTACCTAGGTTTTGAGCTGATTTTTTTTTTTTTTTAAACTAGATCAGTTGGAATGAAGAATAGTATAAGGCAAACAACCAAAATCAAAACAAAACAAAAACCAGCAGCAGAGGGACCAGTTTGGAGGCCATGCTGCAGTCCAGGGGTGGGTGCACAGTGCTTGGGTGGGTGGTTACGAGAAAAGGACGAACAGGGTAGGTCTGGGAAGCATTCTGAGGCTTCGTGGCCTGGCGGGAGGTGACCTGGACATGAGGAGACCATGGGAAAGTGAGTAGCCCTGACCAATGAGAAGAAAGCATTTTCATACTGAGATGGTTTTCAAGGCTGCCCCCCAGAGAGTCACAAACCCAGGAAGAGGGCCTTGAAAGAGAAGTAGCCAACCGGAGGGACCAGGGAGACCCAAGCAGGCTTCCTGGAGGCATCCCTGGAAAGGGAATGCAGGCGAGAGCAAGGCCCACTGCAGAAGTCAAGCCCAACCATTGGTGGCCTGCTCTTCAAAGTCCCTGCTGGGTGTTGTTTGAATTCTGTGCCCCAATTACCGCTTTGTTCACTCCATAGCCTTTCTCAGAGTGTGGGGGCCCTCCCTCTGCCAGGTCACACTCATGGCTCAGTGTGCCCTTGACCACAACCCTAGGTAGCTTACACTAAGGCAGTGATTAAGGAAGTGGACTCTGGGAGTGTAAAGCCCCAGATAATCTATCAAAGTCATGGAAAACCCAGGTCCATCATCTAAAGGATAGGAGTAAGGACAGCGCCCTCAGTGGCCACCCAGGGTACTGCAGGGATTCAAGCTGGGCTCCTAGTATGGGATTACACCGTGGTTGCTGGCCCGTTTCAGGCCAGAAAACAGGCCGAGGGCAGTCTAGGTACAAACAAAGGCTAGCCCAGGCTAGCCCATTCACCGCGGGAGTCCTGGATATCCTTTATATCTCCACTTCCCAAGGTTCATAGTGTGACCGTGGAGGCACACTACTTGTGGTTGGGCCGACCTTTTCCTTCTTTTGCTGGGAAAGGTGTCCACAGAGACCATGAGGTGAGGGGGTCCTGGGGCCAGGGACAGAGCAGGTCTGGCCAGGAGTGGCACACACGCTGGCCGTTAAAGGCTTCAAGGGACTTTATTGTTCACCTCTCTTTCTCGGTGGGGTTGGGATAGTACGTGATTTTTATGGGCAAAGCAGCCAGCGTTCCAGAAGAGATGGAGGGTCCAGAGAGGAAAAAAGGCTGGCAAAGCAGGAGGCTGAGGGAAGCGTCTGGGCAGGTTTAGCCATGTCTATGAAACGGATAAAGACCTGGAAGGTATCCAGGGAGGTTACCGTTGAGTCCTCCCTAAGAACCTTAAGCAACTCAGTGAACCTCTCTGGGCCTCAGTCTGCACATCTGTGGTCTGGGACAATAGCCCTGCCTGTTCCGCTGGGTTCCATAAACCTTTGCTCAATGAATAGAAGGGAAGCAGTACATGGCATTCAGGCGTCTCAGAAAACAGCCCCTCTCTGTAGAAGCTGAAGGAGCCTGCAACCACTAGGAAGGGTCTTTGGGGACTGACTAAGCCAGTCAAGGGCACCTGGCTTTGGGGGTGTCGAAGGTGCCAGCAGACAGGACTTAAGAGCCCTGTTCTGCTGTGTAAGACCTAGTAGCTCACTGGGCAGTGGTGGCACACGCCTTTAATCCCAGCACTTGGGAGGCAGAGGCAGGCGAATCTCTGTGAGTTCGAGGCCAGCCTGGTCTACCAGAGCTAGTTCCAGGACGGGCTCCAAAACTACAAAGAAACCCTGTCTCGAAAAACAAACAGACAAAAAAGGAAGTAACTCAGGACCAGTAGCTTAACTGGAACTTCAGCTTTGCTTTTCTGAAAAATGAGACTCCGTGTTGAGCTTCTACTTGTGACCAGCAAATCTCTACTGAACACCATACTCTTAACCCTACCTAACAGGTACCCCACTGACCTCTCAGAAACTTCCATTTTCTCCAGTCTAACAAACAACCTTCCCAAAGACCCCTGGCTCTCCCCTGGGCTGATCTGACTCCATTTACTTCCCTACCCTGGCTTCCAGCCGCCCAAGTCTCCCCCACCCCCCACCCCCCACCCCATTGCAGGGTTACAACCTCTTATCTCTGAAGGACTGCCCAGAGCCTGCTAGGTCTTACCTAGCGTGACCTCCGCCTGCATGGGCATGGACAGCGCTGGGTGCTTGACCTCACAGCTGAAGAGGGCCTCATTATCTATCTGCGGGTTGAGGGTCCAGGTGAGCAGGGCTCGCACCTCCACCGTGCCATCGCTGCCTGGGGTGCGGCTGTGGCGCAGGAAGTAGACGGGTTCTGCGCTGTGTACCCAACGGGGGAACTCGCGGCTCACTACTGTCTCTGGGATGTTTTCCGTGGTGGGCTGCACGAAAAGGCTGGGGTCCTGGGTGAGAGTGCGTGAGGGGCGCTCCGTGTAGGGACGTCCAGCCCGGTATTCAGTGTCTAGGAGGGACAGTGACTTTTGCATTTTGGTGTCGTCCACATCTCGATGCAGAAGGCCGCGGAAGGGCCTGCTGTCCTGGAGGGGGCCGGAGCTGGTTGCCGGCAGTTCTGACAGGGGTACCGCATCGATCAGTTCCCCATCCCGTTTGAAATAAACCTATAGTTGTAGGCAGGACAAGGGAAGGGATAATGAATTGATGGTTTCCTCTCAGAATGGATTCTCAGAAGAGCCTGGGCCTCCCACTCCCGTTCTTCTCCCTCACTCCCCTGGAGAGCTATGAGCCAACATGGCATGATGGGAATACACACAGCGCTGGAGAGAGATGGCTCAGCCTAAGATCATTACTGACAAGCTGGGGGAGACTTTTAGCCTCAGTTTCCCCACTTGTAAAGAGAACTAAGACGATTGACTCCCGGGAGCCATTAAGTGACTTCACTTAAATGAAGTCACATGGGGAGATTGGTTTTAGATACCACTTAGCTAGCACCTGGGTTCCAGCATGGTCCATGGCTGACCCGGGGGCATGAGGATGAGGAGAGAATGTGCGGGGGGGGGGGGGGGGGGAATGAGCTGTGAGACAAGGAAGACAGAAGGAGGTGTGTGTGTGTGTGTGTGTGTGTGTGTGTGTATTCTGCCTGCTCACACACTTTGGCAATTTAGAACCTGCTATGCAGAAAACAGGAGCCTGTGTGGGAGACAGCTAGGTGTGGGGCGTGAGGCGAAGAAGCCATAGTCTCCCTTTCTCTGCTAATAGGGAATTCAGGTTTTGAGAGGCGGCATTTAATTTAATTTGCTGTCTTCTTATTTTGGTACATGCACCCAGAGGCCTTTGGGGATTGGGTGTAATTTTTAATAAATCATTATAAATAAATCGATAGGAGGCAGGGAGAGAGGACAGGAAGCGCCATGTCATGGTCAGGGACTCCAGGGACTCTGTGGGTGCCAGAGCAGAAGCTTGGGGATGGGTGGGTGGGGGAGGGGCTGGGGAGCAGGTAGGGGTGCTATGTGGGTGTGGAGGACCTGTCAGAGTTTAAAACTCCACTGAAAAATCTGCACACAATGGTCCGCTTTGGGGGTTTGGGTTTTCTTTTCTTCTCCTTTCTCCGCTTTTCTTCTCGCTGTTTTTCTGAAAAGTGCTTCAAAAGTAGGTTTGTAATTTATATCAAAGAATTGCTTTCAAGTTCTGCTGCTCCAGACAGGAATGTCAGGGAATGAGGATCTCTCGTTATAGACAGAGAGGGGGGAAAGAGAGAGAACGAGAAGGGAGGAGAGGCCAGGAAGAACAGAGCGAGAGGGGGGGCGTTTGTTATCGTCTGAAGTGACAGCCAGAAGGTGAGGTGGGAAAGGGCTGCTCTCCTGTAGCCCCAGGGCCAGGAAACCCTCCCCTCAGGTCCTCCTTTTCCCAGAGGAACGACCAGCCTTCCTGATTTGGGGGAGATTGGACATCCTTGTGGGTTCTGATGGGGAGACTTGGGAAGACTCATGAACCGTGACTTCAGCATTCAGTGACTCTGAGGCCACCTTTGTCATCTGCTTGCTTGAGACTGCAGCGTGACTCTAAACCTGCCCACTGAGCCCTGGCCACAATGCCTCCATGCCTCACTCTCATGGCTATAACTCTGTGCCTCTGCACCCCTGGCCCCTGACCTCCATGTCTTTAACCCCATCCCCTGTGCCCTATAACCTTACCCCAAACCCTTATGTCTCTGTACCCCTGACTTCTGACCTCCATGTCTTATATCACTGACCTCTGAGTCCTGTACCCTCACCCCAGACTCCCATGTCTCCATACCCCTGATCCCTGCCCCCCTCCCCCGTCTGTACTCCTGCACCCTCCCCACGGGGCCTCTCTACACATAGCCACTCCCCTGTCCTACAGCAGGCTCTGGCGTCTCAGGTTCTGAGAGGGGCTAGTCAGATCCTCAAGTCCTACCAGTGGCCAGCACATGAGAAACGGTCACTGTGAAGGAGGAGGTCACTTACCTCTCCATCTGGACTCTAACTGCAGGTCCTCATTGCTCCAGCCTTATCCGTTCCCCACCCCCACCCCCATCAAATCCAAGGAATGTGTGGAACTCACTGGGTAGAGGACTAGAGTGTTCTAAAATGCCCATGGTGGAATTTCCTCCAAGTGTAGCTCCAAGGCTCTGGGCTGGGTGCACAGAGATGCCCCAGTGACCTTTGAGGGTTTTATATCCCCACATTAGAAGTTGGCCACATGAGGTTTCTTTGAGTAAACTCCTTGGACTTGTATCAAAACTAAGACGGGGGGGGGGGGAGAACCCTGCTCAGGATCAGTCCTGAGGATTGATGGGTGTGCCCAGAAGCACACTTAAACCAGGAGGAGCTCATGGGTGCTCACCCTTCAGCATGACTGAGAACCCCACTCTGTCTTTTCTCCTGCCCCTTTCTCTCTCTCTCTCTCTCTCTCTCTCTCTCTCTCTCTCTCTCTCTCTCTCCATTCCCCTTTCCTCTCTTCCTTTTGGGGGGCTTTCTAAACCCCATGGAGGTTTGGGAGGAGCAGTGGGTCAAGGTGAGAACATGAACTTGGGACCCATATCTATGGAAATATCAGGGAGATTATGCAGAAGATCCTTCCCTCCTCTGGACTCCCATTCATTGGTCCCCATCCCCCTCTGGACCCCATTTATTATTCCCTATCCCTCTCTGGACCCCATTCATTGTTCCTTATCCCCCTCAAAAATCTAGGGTACTCAGAGTGTACTGGGTGGTGGGCCGTCCTGGAAGACCCTCATTGTGAAGACCCAGAATTGCAGGGTGGGGCAGAGGAAATGAGAGAGGTGCTGAGCAGACCACTTCCTGTCTGAGTACAGAAGTGGTATCTGAAGAGGGCTCAGGGAGCAGGAGTCTTGGCAAACTGAGGACTTGGGCCCCAAGCACTTACCATGGGCGCTGGCTTCCCTCCTGACACGATGCAGACCAGTGTGAAGTTCTGGGCCTGGTACCGACTGAAAGGGGCAGGTGAGTCAGCAGCCACAACTTCGATGGAGGTGGGAGGAGCTTCCAAAGGGAAGAATAGGAGACTATGACTCAGTTGGGGGACTCAGAGTTCTGCTAGGCACCACAAAAGGGGCTGCTGCGGGGTTGACTACAGCAAGCATGGCGACTCTCACTGGGGACACAGGAGACATCATCTTTGAACTCTGTTTGGGGCAGGCTGTCCATTCTTGCTTCCCTGGTCTTGGGCCTGTGCACATTGGTTGGTGGGGCAGGGGCGGCATACAGCATACAGCAAGAGAGGCTGGAGACCTTGCCTTCCTGCAGGGGCTTTTCACCCCAGTTGAGTTTAATTAAGTTCAGCAAGCATTTCCTGACACCCGCCAGGTGTGGAGGCTTGGTGCCAGGGGCCCATTGCTGGCATCCAGCCAGGAGGCAGATAGAGTGCAGAGACGCCTATTGGTGGATGAGGGTGGCAAGCATGGGGCTGCTCTGTTTCAGGACCCAGTGAGACGGAGCCAGGTATGAGCCATCATTTCATTCAGGCAGCCACACATGCTGGGGGCAAGAGAAAGGAAGCGAGCAGGGAGCTTGAGAGAACAATAGACGGAGAATTGTAATTAAGTGGAAGATGGCTCCAAACAGATGGTAAGTGGGGTAGGAATTCGGGGAACGGAAATGCACACCAGAACACTTCAATTACCCAGAAGTTGCAAACTCCGCAGTGTAACTTTTACAGAACAGCACTGAAAACCAGCTCGTACAGCAAGAATCAGCCCACAGCCAGCTTCCGTGAGCTGACTCTTCAGCCCCACCATTGGCCTGGGAGGTGGGTGTGCTATTCCCCTTCTACAGACGGGAAAACACGAGATGTACGGAGAGACCCCAACTTATGTAGTCAGTGTGAGGTAGAGTGGAGATCCGAATGGTGGCAACCTGGCCCTGCAGCTTAGACTCTCTGATTGTCTTGTTAAGTAGCTTTGGCTGACCAAGATCTGTCTATATAGAACAGGTTAGCCTTGATTTCTTAGTGATCTACCTGCCTCTACCTCTGTGTGCTGAGATTAGAAGTGAACACCATCAATGCCTGACCCAGAGTCCAGATTCTCAGGCAGCTAATCCAGCCTTCAAAGAGGCCGGCGTCTGTCAGTACCTCTTTGCCCAAGTGCAAACTCCAGTGGCTTAGAGTTCTCATTCCCTGACTTTGCAGCATCTCCAGAGGCCTGGTGGTCCAGTTTCCTAGGGAGCTGCTTCTAGTCCTGTTGTCCCAAGGCTGAAGATTCTCCAGCCAGAGTTCAGTCTGAAACACTGTGCCCTGAGCTCACTGTCTATGGTCCCTGTCACCTTTAGTGTCCTTCTGACATATCTTTCCCCTCTTCTTCCTGCACCTCCATCCGTAACTCCATCAGTCACCATCTCCATCTTCAGCTCCGTTTCCATCACCACCCCTACCTCCACCGTTATCATCACCTCCCAGCCTCATTCTCATCTTCACCTCCAAGATGTGCCGGTTAAAGTTCACCCTCCAGAATGCTGCTGCACCAGAAAGGGAAGGTGGACTCTCCAAAAATCACCCCTTCCCCATGTCACTGGATTAGTTAAATTCTCTGTTGCTGAGGTAAAACGCCACGACCCAGGCAACTGATAAAAGAAGGTATTAACTGAGCTTATGGTTCCAGAGGGTTTGAGTCCACGAAGGCAGAGCAAAGGTGTGGCGGCAGGAACAGTGGAGAGCTCACATCTCAAACCCTAAGCTGGAGGCAGGGAGCACACTGGGAATGTCAGGAGGCATTTGAAACCTCAAAGCCCACCCCCAGTGACGCACCTCCTCCAACAAAGCCACACCTCCTAATCCTTCCTGAACAGGTCCACTAACTGGGACCAAGGATTCAAACGTGAGTCAGTGGTGGCCAGTCTCCTTCACACCACCACAGACAACTTTGCTGAGGTCACACTGAGGAGAACATGCCTGACAGAACTGCTCAAGCAGTAAATGAGCCGGTGACTACAGGGCCCCTGACACGCCCGCCAGTCATGTTAATGAGTGCTGCTGGCTCCACTACCTTTTTGCCAGGCTCATGAAGGAATCTGGAGCCTCCTGCACACCAGGCAAGTGCTTCACCCCAGAGGTACACACCCATCCCTGCCTCATTAGAAAGAAGGGTGCTTAAGATGGACTGTGGATTCCAGACCAGAGCATTCAAGATTCAGAGACCAGCCATAATACCTGTCAACTGTGTGACATTGGGCAGGTGACTTACACTCTTTCCCTGTGTTTGCTTACCTGCAAAATGGAAGGGGCCTTGTGGAGATTCAATAAATAGGACATGCAAAAATATTTTGGAAGTATCCCCAATAATAGCAATAACTGCCCTTGCTGGCAGCCCTCCCTGGTAGTTTTCTTTGTTTTAGGCTGCTCTGGTCTCTGCTTGTATGAAGTTTAGCAAGGAGACCATGAAGTGCTTGATGCGTGCATGCTTGACCACAGCAGGCACCTGTACCCTGTAGCATTCAAGCTCCCCAAATGGTGCGTGTTCAAGTAAAGAGGAAACCAAATTTCAAAGACTTAAGTTTTAAAAGAACATTGCAAGATGGCTGGAGAGAGGCACATACACTCATGCACACACACACAGAGGTACACACAGCAGCACACACACACACTCATGAACATACACCCATACTCATGCACACATACAGATGCACACATAATCATGCACGTACACAGTGGCACATACATACTCATGCATACACACAGATGCACACATAACCATGCACACACAGTGACACACACACTTATGCACATACACAAATGTACACATACAGTGACGCACACATGCATGAACACACACACTTATCCACATACACAAATGCACACACTCCTAAACACACAGATACATCTTGTTCTAGAGCCCTGCATCTGACCCATGCAGAGCATGGGAGCTGTGCTCCATCCCTGTCCCCCTGCCCCCCAGCATTTCTGAGCATGTGTGAACAGATCGTCGAGCTCATAAGACCACAGTGGTTGTATGGATGATGACACACAGGAGCTGCCAGCATCAGTGGACACTTGCCCACCAGCATCTCCCAGGCACCGTGCCCTGGGAGAATGTCACTCTACATTATGCCCCTGTCGCCCCTTGGAAGGCTGAGTGCAGCCAGAAAGCTGTCTCCACTCTGTCGCTGTGTCCCTTCTCCTTCCCTTCCCTTGACTAGGCCCAGCCCTCTGTCCTAGACAGACCCCTGCTTCCTAGGCTCATTGCCAGTGTCCTTTCACCCTTGATCTCCCTCAATAAATTCCCATCCCAACCTCCATCTTCACTTCTTTTCCTGTCTCCATGCATCTTCGTCCTCACCTCCATCTTAACTCCCTCTCTGCTTCCATCTGAATTTCCATCCACGTACAGGCCCAGCCCTGGCCCCACCTCTGCCTTCAACTCTGTCTCTGTCTGACCTCTGCCTCCATCTACATCTCTTTCCATCTCCACTTCTGCCTCTACCTCCATCCTCCTCCCTCCCCAGACTCCTCCATCCCTTCTTCGACCTCCACCTCCACTTCCCTCTCCATCTTCGCCTCCATATCATGTTACATATCAGTTACATGTCATGTAACTGAGGCACTCCTTGAACTTGGTATGTAGTAGAGGATGACGTGATCCTCTTGCTCCTACCTCTTGAGTGCTGGTATTGGAAGTGAGCTCATGCCAGGTTTGTATGGCACTGGGATCAAATTCAGAACTCCATGCATGCTAGGCAAGCACCCTATAAACTGAGCTACACTCATAAGTCTCTACCACCACCACCCTTTTTTGAGACAGAGTCTCATTATGTAGTTGACCTGAAATTACTATGCAGGCCAGGCTGGCCTTGAACTCATAGAAATCCCTCTGCCTCTGCCTCTGCCTCCTGAGTTCTGGGACAAAAGGTGTGTGCCCCCATGCCCTGTTCCCATCTCTAGTTTTAGCTCAATTTCCACCTCTACCACTGTTCTCACCTTCTTCCTATCCCTGCCTTATTTACCCTCCCTCCCCATCCCAGAATCCAACCCCATCTTCTGTTTCATTTCCTTCCCCAATAGGCCTCTATCAAGGTCAAAACCAAACAGCCTTTTATGGGTCTTGGGCCTGAGATCAGTCTCCGTTCATCCAAAGACAGCCAGCCAGTGGAGAGCACAGCCGTAAAGTTCCTGGGACCCCCTGGGTAAGAATAACCCCGTTCAATGACAGGCTCAGAGTGAGCAGTGTGTAGGGGCGCCTGGCCATGTCCCGCTGTACCCAGGCAATGGCTAATGGAGAAGAATCGTCATTGGAGAGCCTGTTTCATGCTTCTTCCCACGCCTCTGCTACCTCCACTGGACAGTGGTGTCCAGCGCTCCCGGCAGCTCTTTGGGGACATCTGTCAGGGGCACAGCCGTGTATAATCAAACCCTCTGCATTTTGTGCCCTGCTCGGAAATTCCCCAGATCCCTCGACCGCACCCCACAACCTCCCAGCCAGCAGGTTTTCTGGCTTATTTCTCACTTTGTCTTAAGAGGAAGGCTCTGCTTCTGGAACTTTCCTCGGTTAATTCTGTGTGCAGCTGTCAAGGCACAGCAGCTTCCAACCAGACACCGCCTCACAGTCCCGCTAGCCTCCATCACCCTGTCCCACGGCCACGGAGGGAGGCAGGAGGTGAAGTTATTTTAGACTCAGCAATTCATATTGATGGAGTATGGTGATGCTCGGTGATCCATTTTATGAAATTAATCCTGAAAAATGGCCTGTCTGTATCTCGCAAGCGGAAGTTTGTTTCGGGCTCCGTAACTCACTTGTGAGCTAGGGCAGCCGCTGGCTGAGCTCTGTAAATTATCTCTCGGTCTTTGCAAGGGGACACAGTGAAGAAACACCAGCAACACGGGCAGGTGAACTTCCCGAGGTGTGTTCACCTGTCCCCCCACCAACTCACCTTCCTGTAGTGGTATATTATTTGTATTTGATAAATAAATCTTGAAGACCAGAGGCAAAGCTAAAGCCACTAGGTCAGGCAATGGTGACACACACCTTTAATCCCAGGATTTGGGAGACAGA